ATATATATATACATACATATATACATATATATATACATACATATATATATATATATATACATACATATATATATATATATATATATATACATACATATATATATATATATATACACATACATATATATATATATATACACACATACATATATATATATATATACACACATACATATATATATATACACATATATACACACATACATATATATATATACACATATATACACACATACATATATATATATATACACATATATATACACACATATGTATGTATATATATGTATATATATGTATATATATATATGTATATATACACATATATACATACAGTATATATACATACATATGTATGTACATATATATATACATATATATATATACATACATATGTATGTACATATATATATATACATATATATATACATACATATGTACATACACATACATATATATGCATACATATGTATATATACATATATATACATATATATATATACATATATATATATACTGTATATATACTTATATATATACTGTATATATATATACATATATACGTATATATATATATATATATATTACCTTTAATACAATCAGTTAAAGAAATTCTGTAGAAATATACATTACACATCCAACTGCTTGAGCTCGAGGACAAAATAACCAGAAACTAGTTAAACTTCACAAACGTATAAAAGTATTAATATTTCCTAATATGCATAAAAGTGGTATTCATAGAAAGCAGAGCTCAGTGAACACACGAGGTGCTGCTGAAATGAGTTGAACTCACCTGCAGTCCCGTGTTGCTCCTCTGGAGGTCTCTGTAGCTCCACCTCTGTGTTTCAGGTGAAGACAATCTACCGCCATGTTTTAATACCGTCACGGTCGAGTCCCGTCTTACATATGCATATCTTTTATTGTTTTCCATGAGCCGGATTCTTCTACTTCATCTACGGAATAAAAATGTAAATAAGCAGCACGTTAGACCACAGTCCATGCAAAAAAAAAAGTGATGTTTATTGTAAAAAAATACTAATGAAACGGAGGAAGAAACAAAGCAACACCTACATGAAGATAAATAGTGTAAAAGAAGACATTCACAGGTAGAACCTGCCGTCTTGTATCTTCATCATCGTCAGCCTCACTGGACTGGAACCTGCTCAGGGAAGCAAAACATCAAGAATACACAAAAACTTCTGCTGCCACACCAAACTGCATGCAGAAATCGGTCACTTTAATAATAATAATAATATCCTTGTTGACATCACATCGGTATTCTTTTAACAGGTTTGGATGAGCCTCGAGCCTCAACACACTAAACTCCATTTAAAAATCTGCCACTTTAACACTAAAGTACGTGTTGAGATTATTTTATACATTGTCTTTTGAATTTCTGGTTCATCTTTGTATCGTATTTAGTCTCATTGTTTCTGCGACCCGACACCAAAGCACAATGAGTTTGCAGAAGATGACAGTGAGATGTGGGTGAAAGAGACTGTTGAGCTTGGACCTTTAGTTTAGCTGGGAATGCTGAGAAGTAGAGTCATTTTCTCATAGACTTCTATACAATCAGAGGAGTCGCCCCTTGGTGGACACTAGAGAGAATGCAGCTTTAACACATGAAGCTTTGGCTTCACTCTGCAGAACCGGAGGTTGCCTCCTGGTTAATACCTGGTTAGCAACCACGGACGCATTCGGCTGAAAGTCACTATTAATGGAAAGTTTCAAACTAAATGGTCGTTTTTCAGGAGCAAATAACAGGCTGAAGATCACATGATACCAAATAACAGACAGGAAGTAAGATGGAGGGATGCTGGGAGTTGTAAGGTGTTCGAGGTTGAAACATATTTCTTTTAAGTCTGTAAAGGAGGCACACTGAAGCCAACGCAGATCTGAATTCTGTGTATAATAAATAAATACATCGATCTTTCTTTGTCATCTTGCAGCTCCACAGATTTACACAGCTGTTCATAGGTAAATATAATAAGTTCAATGTATTAAATTCTCTTTCCAGCATAGAGAGCGACTCCCTGTAGGAACATTACAGAAACAGATTTTTTTCCTTTCTTTAGGAACTTAAACGTCATATCATGTCTCCGGCAGAGACCGCGTGTCTCCCAAAATACTCGTACAGATTATTTTTGTGATGCTTTGACTCCTGATGCATGTTGGGAATTAGGGAGATCAGCCCCCGCAGATAAAAAAAAACAAACCCCAATGAGTTTTCATCTCTAACGCTTTGTTTCATCATCCGTCCATCAGGCGGCGATGATGAAAGGCCGCTCGTTACGCCTCCGGTGAACGACTGACGCTGTCGGATCTAAATTCCACATCAGACCTCCTCACCGAGATGGACAGCCAGAGGTTATTAGAAGGAGCTTCAGGTTCGAGCTCACACACACACACACACACACACACACACACACACACACACACACACAGAGCAGCGCTGCCTGTGATCTATGATTCATGTGCGCTCATTTAAAATAGTTTGAAATATTTAAAGTTGGCTGGTCGGCCTCAGAGGGTCGACTGACTGACCTCTCCGGCATGATGGAGGAGGAAGAGGAGGAGGAGAGACGATACAGGCTGGAAGAAAAAGGGGAAAGGAAGGTAATGAAAGTGAGAGAGATGAGAAGGACTGAGAGGCTATTGACTCATGAGGACTCATGAGTCAAAAGAAGCCTAATTTCTTGTCATTTCAGTCAACACCAAGCGGCAACTTCCAGTTCTGAAGAGTGAAGTCGATGCTTCATGTGTTAAACCTGCATTCTCTCTAGTGTCCACCAGGGGGCGACTCCTCTGATTGTATAGAAGTCTATGAGAAAATGACTCTACTTCTCTCTTGATTTATTACCTCAGTAAACATTGTAAACATGAGTTCATGGTCTCAATCTCTAGTTTCAAGTCTTCTTCAATACAGCATGATGTTCATTTAGTACATTATGGTCCATTTAGAGTCAAACAGACCATAAAGCAGGGGATGCTTTAGGGCGGGGCTACACAGTGATTGACAGGTCTCTACCAGATATCCAAGAACTCTACATCACTCCTTCACATTCCATACATAGTAACTTCCTTTGCAAAAAGTCAAGATAGCGACGGCTTAATTGCAAAATTCAAGGCGTCAAAAGATCAGTCAACCAATGACAACGTCACGAAGACTATGTCCACTTCTTATTTACAGTCAATGCGTTGTTCCTGTATTTCCAGGTGCTAAAAAAACTCCTCACAGCGGGGGAGGTAGTACGCCACTTCAGTTTCCTTCAACTACAATTTGTAAATCATAAAACACGGAAGTACTGCATCGACCGCCGGTTCTCTGCCCTGCTCGAGTGTGAATGACGGAAATAAATACTTTACTTTATTTCCTCGTTGTTTCACATGGGTTACGTACTAAAGCGTACCAACATACTAACCTTCAAACTCTTAGTAGATCACTTTGGAGAGACGTGCTCTGGAATTTGACTCCATGATTCTTCAGATGTGATGGAAACTCAAACATGACATCTGCTGTAAAAAAAAGTGTTTTTTGTTTGTGTAAAAAGCAAAAATGTAAATCACGTGCACACCTCACACCTGAGAACAGGTTGCAGGAGAAAAGCAAGAAAAGAAAAGGGGAGGCCGTCTTCACGCTGACATTTTCATATTTCTATTAATGCAAAGTTTCAAACTGAAAAGTAATGTGTCAGGAGCAAAAAACAGGCTGAATATCACATGATACTAAATAGGACAGGAAGTAAGATGGCGGGATGCTGGGAGTTGGTGGGGAGTTCATGGTTTAAACACATTTCTTTTAAGTCTGTAGAAGAGACATGTTGAAGTCAAAGCAGGAAGTTAAGATGCTGTTTAATGTTCCTAAACCCTAAATTGTTCTTCATGGTTCTAAATCTAAACAATCTCGACCTTTTTTAGGCTCCACAATTGTTAAAAGTCCTTCAATTACAGATAAACTAAGATTATATTTCATTTTCAATCACATAATAATAATAATCATTTTGAATTTGCACAGGCTCCCACATTTGTTGACCCTAAAACCAAGTCCTGTAAACCCTCATCTAGTTTAGAGTGGTGACCATTAATCCAGGAAAGATCATTTTTTTGGGTTCAGTTTCTGAAATCAGCTCGTGTGGTTCCTGGAACGGTTTTTGGGGCTTATGTTTCTACCAGGACCGATGTTTGCGAGACACTCGTGGCTCTCTAAGCTGAGTGGAACATGTGTTGTGCGGCATAACAAAGTAACAATACACTCAAAAAACAACACTTTCAACAAACCTAATAAAATCATGGAAAGTATTTCCACACGATTAAACTGCTTTCTTTAGAGTAATTAAGTTCGTCCAACTTAATTTACTGGGGTCGGATCAACTTAAGTTATTTAGGTTGGTTCAACTTATTTACTAGGGTTGAGTCCGATTTAACTTAATAGGGTTGGTCGAACTAATCTTACAGTAGTAAATTAAGTTGGACCAACAGAGTTGCTTAATGCTTATAGAAAGCAGTTTAATCATGTGGAAATACTGTCCATGATTTTATTAATATTTTTTTGGTGTAGCAGCATTGATTTCACCAGCAGTGAGAGACTCATATATTGAAGCAAACCCCCCAAATGACCAGTGATGCATCCACCTCCACCTGTCTGCTGCAGACACACATACCTGATTGGCCGTCTGGAGGTGTGAAGGTTTCAAGGCAGGACGGGAGCTTCTTTTTAAAAACAACACCTTGTTCACTCTGCAGTGTCTCCTCTGATCCGTCCAACTAAACGCTGAGGAAGGTCATGGAGACGGAGTGAAAGGGAAAAAAGCATTATCTATCTATGAATTCTACCATCATTTTTCAGATATTTGAATTAAACATGAATTAATGTCCAATTCTCAACAGGAACCAGAACACTAGCAGAACCCTTCCTGACTTTCAAAATAAAAAATAAAAAATAGAAAGAAAGCAGCTTACTGAGATGTGGCAGCATCTCTATTATTTGGGGATTGGTGAAGGTGGAAAAACAGAAGAAATTATGCAATCTGGTAACAAATTCGAGAGAAATTTTTATTATGAATATGGCACCTGTAAGATGGTGAAAACCGGGTTACAGAAAGACAACCATGTGTGTGACATGTTCCTCTGAGCGGATGAGAACCTAGTAAACTTATAAAAGAACTGCTATAAAAATGAAGTATGTACATTTTTCGGATTTGCAGCATTATTCATGGTAAATGAACTCAAAAAGATGTCTTCCGAAAACAATAATAATAATAATAAAAAATAAGCCAGGCACTCAAAGTTAGCATCAGTTAGTCATGTGTTTTTTTTTCAAAACGAAAAAACTGAAATGTACCATAGTTTTCTCTTTTTTAATATTTTAATTTGTTTGTATTTAGAATTATATAACACTGTTAACATTGATAATAAGAGATTCCCTCTCTCCCGTATTTCAGCTACTTGGCACCAAGTTCCTCATAAAAGAATCTGTATAATTGTACAAGAAATAGTTAAAAACACAGACACAGTTTCTTCACAGGTAAATGAAGTGATTTTTCAATATTTGTAATTCTTAAACACTATGTATTTTTGACAGCAGCTGTGATTAAGGTTTTTACGTTTTTAAAATCACCAGCAAAGTTTTCATTTTTCGACATAAAACACAGAAAAAACATTGAAACAGCTTGGACCGGCTGTTTGGTTTTTGTTACATGTGGGTGTATTTCCTGGTTTCGTCTGAGTTATGTGCACCCCCCCACCACCACCACCACCCTGCTGCCCAATCCCGGTTTCTTTCACCAGATGGGGCCCTGCCGTTCGTTTGGGCCCCCCCCCCCCCCCCCTGCCCTGTTTTCACGCAAAACCAGGGCAAAAAAAACCCCGCCAAAAGTAGAAAACGCTAAAATCCAGAGGAGCGCAGAAACAAAATGCTCCTGAAACGACTGAATTTAACATTCAACCACGAACGACCCGCCAATCGGCCGACAGATCGCGTGGACCAATCACAGTCCTCCCTCATTGAACACAAAAGTAAATGAATCCATCGCTAAATTTCATAAACCTGTTTGTTTGCTTTTTTTCATAGTTGTTTAAACATTTTCGTCGCAGTAACAAGACATTGATTCTTCACAGAAAGCACAGACGCTACAGATTGTTTTTCCTGATGTGAAAAGATGAGATTAGAGGCATCGGTTTGACGATACAGACTTTAACGAGGCCTCCATCGCGTCCCCGTTTGGGCTCGACAGACTTAAAATAACTAAAACACTGGACCCACAAACAAACAAACAAACAAACAAAAAATAAACGAGGGATCGATCACGTGAAACTCATTGGACGAACTTACTAAACATGCAGTTCAGTTTTTCCAAAACACCTATAAAAATAGATTTATAGTGCGAAATATTTTTTTCTTCTTTTAATTTCTTTAGAAATCTTTAAAATCTGTTTTTTTTATATTACGTGTCCTGAAATAGTGATTTTTTAAATCTCCCCCCTTGAACCACTTGTGTAACTTTGTTTGTCCCGTGAGAGAAGTTTGCGCAGGAAGTCAACAAGTTTCGGTGGGAACCAATGAAATACACCCAATGCACACAGGAAGCACCAAGGGACTCTGGGAAATGTTTCACAACTGAGGCTTTTATGGTCGTTTTTTCCAGGACTACAATCTAAAATGCTACTTTAGGCTTTTTCCTCATCACAATTTGAATTGTATCGTAAATATTTATTCGTTTTTTAATACTTTGTATATGCAAGAGCTGGAAACTGCGTTTCCCAGAATTCCTTAGCGGCGATAAACATGGCTCCATAAACCTTTGAGCTAGTTAAAGAATCTTTTTCATCTCTGAGAGAAAGGACAGCAAGATAAAGAGGTTTTGTATAAGACTACACAACAGCAAAAAGCAACAGCAGAGAGAGAGAAATAGAGAGGATTAGAAAACCCCCCACAAAAAAAATTTAAAAAACAAAAAAGGTTTTACAAAGACAAAAAGGAAGCAGCGGAAAAAAAGGTGGTCTCTACAAATTTTTTTTCTGTAGTTTTTGCAAAGGCCACCGAACACGAAATTCCACGAACCTCCACTGGTTTCACTAAGACTGCAGATAGAGGGAGATAGAGAGAGAGAGGCAAAGAGAGGCAAAGAGGGGTTCGCCGTTTTCAGACTCCACCCCCTTCATCCCACTAAGCCCCGCCCCTCCCCCCCACACTAGAGATAGAGCACAGAGAAGACAAAGGACAAAAACAGCTACAGTAGCTCAGTATATACTGCATATAGTCAACACACACAGAGAGAGAAGTCGCCATGAAAGACTTTTTGACAGCCAGTGACACTAAACACATCGGTAACACGTTTTTTACGGCTTTAAATCACACTGGGTAATAAGGTATGACGGGATGGTAGAGACGGGGCTGCCAACTTTAAAAAGATGGATGTTGTGACTGTTTTTTTTGTTTTTTTTTACCGTTTTAATTATTACTTATCTTTTTTTCTTCTTCCTCTTTTTAACAAAAAACGTAGAAAAGAAAAAGGTAGAAATGAACGAGAATCACAGTGCTTTTAAAACACTAAACTTGTGAGATTTCTTTTTTTTTTGTCTTTTTTTTGGCAACGAGGGTTTTGGGGAAGAAAGAACACAGAACAGAAGAACGACGACAAAGACAACATTGTTTCAAGGAATGTGATTTTTTTTCTCTTCCTTAAAAAAAAGATTCTTTTTTTGTAGTTATTGATTTTGATTGTTTGATAGATTTGATTGAAAATGCATGTCTTTATTACAATCTCCTTAGTTGATATGTGGTTGTTTTTTATCACAGGGTCCGGCGATGAGATGGAAGAGAGTGGATTGTTTAGGAAAATCTTGTGGAGGTGATTCTGGTTTAGGAAGAAGAGGAGGAGGAGGAGGAGGTAAGAAAATAAAAATAAAGACAAAGAAAGTAGTACAAAATAAAATTAAACAATCAAACAGGAGCCGGTCGAGGTTTTTAACATTCATTTTTCAAGTTAGCGTCACTAGCGTATTAGCCTCAGTCTCACTGAGAAGTAAAAGTGATTAAGTTAGAAAATACATAGAAATAAAAACAACACTATGAAGCCTAGAAATTCAACCAATCACCTCCATGCTGCCGTGTGGAGCTGCCCCTCCACGCCCAATCAGATTAAGCGTTTTTTTATAGGAAAAAAAACAAAGGAGGGACATGATGGAGATGATGTTGCTGATTTAGAGGTCCTACGGTTCTTGCTGTGTTTCTGACTTTCCTGAAGGTCAGAAGATAAAAACTAATAATAATAATAAAAAGGTTAAAATTGTTCCCCCTCCAAAAAACAAAACACGATCAGTCTGTCAACGAGCTGTGGGTTCGTTTACAGCACCCCCATCAGCCAGCTGAATCCGGGTTACTGGACGGTCGGTAGCACCATGAATCTGTAGATCGTCAGGAGGAAATGTTAGACGTAGAGATTAAAGATCCGGCAGACAAGAGTGAGAGATAAGAGAGAGAGAGAGAGAACGACATATCGAGATGGGAGGAGATGTAGAGGAGGTTATGTTCGGTGCGAGACCTGTAGGTAAACTCCTGGGATAAAAGAGGAAGTAGTAACATTCGATATTTCACAGGTCATTACCCGGCTGAAATTGCTTTTTTTTCTTTTCTGTTTTTCTCCTTAATGCTTGATTCGTAAGTTAAATCTGAGCTAGAATATTTTATAAAAAAAAAGAAGGAAATGAAAATGAAAAAACAGCATTAATCCTCTAAACTATTCCCTCAATCGAGAAACGTCTTCAAAAAAAACCTTTTTTCAAAAGATTATTATCTCCGAGACCTTTTGTCAGTCCCCTCCTCTCGGTTTAAAAATGTTCTCTTCAAGCCTTGATCACATCAAGATACATGTGGAGAAGCGCCCGCATAGAGTTTTTTATGTCCGTTACAAATCCCTGTACCGTCCTCCGTTAAATACGCACAATCGGCACCTTCGTAAAGATGCAACAGAAAACAAAGTCAAATAATAAAAAAGTATCCCCGTCTGGCTCCAGCAGAGTCCTTTCGGCAATATGAATTCTCTGTAGGCAAAAAAAGGAGTTCTTTACAATAAAGAATAGTCTTGTTTTTGTTCAAGAGAAGAAAAAGAAAACGTTGCTGATCGCAAGAAAGAGGAGTAAAAGAGAGAGAGAGAGCGAGAGAGAGAGGATGAGGAGAGAGAAAAAAAGATAGAAAAGGTCGGGACATGTTTGAGGGTCATTCATGTCTATTACACAAGCTCAGTTGCTCAGATTCAAAGTGCTAGAGTACATTTGTCATCCTTTCCTGTCCTTTCCCCCCTCTCGGAAACACAGTGCTGTGTTGATAAAAGATAGCAAGTAGTCTTTATTTTCCTTTCTTTTTTTGTTTCTTTACTAGTGAGTAGTCTTTTTTTTTACTTTGACACAGTTGTCGATTCTAGAAACACAGTAATGCGGTCTTGAGCGATTAGCGTTAATCCTCCTTCCTCTCCAGAGTCGTCTGCGTGGTGTGGATCCCGTTGCTGTACACCGGGAACGGTAGCGTCGAGAAAAGTCCCTCCGCCGTGGTGAAAACGTTGGCTGCGGTCGGCATCTGGCCCCCCAGGGACCCATTCCCGCCCGTGGCCATCTGTGATCCGACGAACGGGCCGGCCGCTGCCGCCGCCGACATGTTGAGCCTGTGGACGTGGTGGTACAGCATCTCCATGGGTGTCTTGGGGTCCAGGCCGAACCCCGAGCCGTCGACGAAGTTCATGGCGGCGTTGGGGAGGAGGTTGCCCTGCGCCATGGCGAGGGTGACGTCCGCCGGTGCGTACCTGATGGTCCCGGTGGTGTAGACCCGCGGAGCTGTCGTGCTGGTGGAGGCCAGAGTCCCCGTGACTCGGTGGACCAACGGGAGCACCACGTTGCTGGCCTGCAGACGCTGCAGCGCCTCGAGGTCACCGGAGTAAAGCAGCGACGAGGAAGAGGTCGACGAGGACAAGGACGAGGAAGAGGAGGTGGTGGGAGTGCCTTGCTGCTTGTCCCGCGGGGAGGCGGACAGCGGAGGTGACAGGGGGTCGGCGGAGGAGGCATTGGAGGGAGGTGCTAAACTGCCGGCGCTGGAAGCGGAGGACGGCGCGGAGCTTCCGTTGTAAGGAGGTTTCCTCACTCCCACTGTGCCTCCCTCGGTTCCAGGAGGGGTGAGGACGGAGTCGGGAATGGCCACCTGTAGAGAGCCTCCCTGGGGTGAGGGGAAGTTCTCGTGGGACCCCGGAGGGGCAGGCTTGGAGGTCATGCTGTATGGTGACTCGTTTCTGGAAATCTCCCGGTTGGGCGGGAAGTTCCAGATGCTGCTGTCGTTGTCGAAGTTGATAGGCTCCGCCATCTCCGTCTTGATTTTCAGGACTGAGGACGTCGCACCCACGCAGTTCGGGGAGCCGGCGGAGGCGAGGAGGTGGGAGGAGGAGTTGTTGGCCGGCGTGGCCTGGGAGGGGTCGACCAGCATCGCGGCGTCTCCCATGGCATCGGGGCTGTCCGAGGCGGTGGGCGAGGAGAGACGGAGCCTCCTGCTCCGGGATGCGTCCCATTTCTGCACTTTCCTCCTCTTCCGCCTCTTCTGGAGCTTGCCACCAGCACCGGCGTCGACGCCGTCGCAATCTTGCACGCCTCTGTCTTCTTCCTCGTCGATGTCGTCGTCGTCGTCGTCCTCTTCTTCCTCCTCCTCCGACGAAGAAGTTTGTGAGTTGTGCAGCTGTACTTCTTCCCCTTCTCCGTAGTGCTCTACCTTAATATGGAGCCCGCCCAGGTTGCCCAGTCCTCCGATGGCACCCAGTCCCCCTAACCCTCCCAGTCCGGCTAACCTCCCAAGCCTTCCTCCTCCATCTCCACCTCCACCACCTCTACCGCCTCCTCCTCCTCCTCCTACCCTTGCCTCCTCCTGTTCCTCCCCCTCTCCATCCGAGGCTTCCAGACTGTCGTCGCTCTCCTGGCTCTCGGGGTTACTTGAGCTGTCTCCTTCCTCCTGGCGCTTCATTTCCTGTTCGGAGGAGCAATGTGGTTGACCGGGTTGCTGCTGACGCTTGCTGTCAGTCTCCGGGTCCTCGCGTTCTGATTGGTGGCTCGGCTTCCCCTCGGACTTGGCGTTCTCGTTGTCTGTTGAGGAGAAAGATATATACGTTGGTTCAAAATCCTGGACTCAGATTGAAATATCTCAACTAAATATTTGACGGATTGACATTCACTTTTGTACACGATATTCATGGTCCCCATAGGATGAATCCTCTTTGATGACTTATTTCTTCAGCGCCACAATGAGGTTGATTATATTTGGATGGATCACTGTGAAATTTTCCCCTGAAGATGGATTCTATAATACCTTTGGTGATACTTTGACTTTTCCTTTTCCACCATCATCAGGTCACATTTTATTACATTTCATACAAATACCTGCAAATGTAAGACTTTCCCAGCAGCCTCAGCTGTACTTTGTGTTAAGTGCTTATAAGCGCGTTAGCATTGTCATTGTAGTATATTTTTACCATAACTTTATCCAAAACAGAACAATCAACATATTAATGATTTAGCTGATAAATCTGAGCTTTATCTTTGAGGTGGCGCTAAAGATCGTGGGTTAATTAAAATCTAAAGGGCTTATCTTCTGGGGAGCTGGAATGTGCTAAGGGAATTTGATGACAATTGACATTTCTTGTGTACAAATGGCATTCGGTCCTGATGTTGGGTCTACAGGAGATCACTAAAATTGTCATGGTTTATCCTTTTGCAAACATGAATGAACAACAATTGTTCTTGAGATATTTCATCATATTTAAAACAAAAAAAATTATAATTGTGGCATGAGACGAAAGATAACGAGCTCTTCCTTAAAAACTTTTCCTCACTTGGACTATTATGGATTCAGTTTGGGTGTATTTGAATTCCCGCACAGTGACTCTCAGTTGTTGATCCTTTTTTATTTTCCCAGACAGGGTTTTCCATGTGTTGTGGCTGCTGATGTGTGTTCAGTATCTTTAGCTGCTGCTGTTCTGGCATCTTGGCTCTCTCCAGCCCATTACACACACACACACACACACACACACACACACACACACACACACACA